GTGACTCGCTCTGGTGCCTCAGGCTTGTGGCTACTGCCAGGCAGGCTTGTTTGAACAAGGCAGCAAGAAGTAGGAGCTGTGCTCACATTTTGACTTCCCTCAGCATCTTCTTTTTCACTCTTTGCCAATGAGATGCCAGCAGAGCTCTTGGGAGTGCCACAGAGAGGAGCAATTTTTGTAAGAGACATTGAAATTTAAAAGCTGAAATGTCTTGCAGAAACACAGCATTTTACTTCTTTTTTTTTTTTAATCTTGCTTCCAAATATGCTATGAACATCACTTCTACTTTATGAGCACTTTCTTTTTAAATGGAAAACATGCTCTTCTGTGCTAATATCTGGATATTTAGTTGGCATGTTGGTTTCTTACAGCACCAATCTTTCCATGCACAGAGCAGTCTGGATCCTTCTGTGTCTAGGAGGAGAGTTAATTAGCATTGTTGATGGAGCTCTTAATGAAAATAGTGTTGTCCCTTTCATATTCCTCTATTCAAATTGTTCCTTTTCACGTTTTCCCCTCCCACAGATAGATATATGACTGAATTAGGAAAGTGTGTCTGATAGTCTGGTATTTCTAGCTACAGTGCTTAAAAAAAAAAAAAAAAAAAAAAACCTACCTCTTTAAAGCTGTGTAATTACACTGGTTAACATATGTTATGTCACATACAAACCATTGTCTGAGTTATGAGCAGTTCAGAATGAGCTCTCAGTAGAAGCTTACAGGAGCGCTTTATTGCTATGATTTATATGACTGTTTTGCCTTTCGCAAGCCCTGCAGTGAGCAATCTAGAGGTGTTCCTTTGGGATATGAGGCTGTGTGTGTACTGTAGTTGAGATCTGAGAGTAAATAGTTTCTATCTAGGCACAGGTTACCTTTAGTGGAAATGAATACCAGGGGGAGCACACGTTAGAGGGTTTAGCTGACTGTTGCTTTCTGCTACACCACTCAAGGGTTGCTACCCACTGGGAATATGACTTGGTGCATGTATCCCTGTGCTAAGCGAGCTCCAACAAGGCTGTGTCTCTGTGGGAAGAGCAGTGAGCTGTTTCGTGGCTATCCAAATATGGAAGCAGAGATTTGGGCCTTGGGGGATTTGGAAGAAGTATGGGGAAAAGCTGCAGCAGGCTGGGGCTGAACCAGAGCCTGCCACCGCCCTTCCCTTACCAACAGATGGCAGCTCATAGTTGCAAAAGAGCATCTCCCAGGGAAGCAGCCCTGCTGGAGCCCTGCTTTCACAGCAGTGCAGGCAGTGTGGGCCTGTTCCTTGGGTGCACCAGGCAGAATGAGGCAGTGCATTCAGAGTGGTAACGACATTGGTGCGAGGGTATGTAAGCATTAAAGTATCTGCATGAATTGGGAAGATGTAGAAGTGTGAGCAAGTTGCATGATGTGGGGTTTTCCTTGTTGTATGTTGTAAGGTCTCCCTTGAAACTGTATGGAATTTCCTTTAAAATACTTTTTGGAGTTTAATTTATTTAAGGCATATCTGTAGAGCGCGGTCAGCCCCACAGTAGATCAGTAAATTCTCATATCTCAAATGGAGCTTGTAGTGCAAAAATGCTCCCTTCTCACCTTGCTGCTTGTGTTGTTCTTTGAACTACTTACATGGCAAAGTACTTGTCTAATTTATCTTCATCCACTGTGGGTAGAGTTGCTCCTTCATTTCTAGTAAGATGGGATTGCTGTGTATCTCAGACCAAAAAGAAAAGCTTTATTCCTGCCATAAGCTGAAACTTCTTAACCTTTAGTTTCCCTCTGATCAAATCATGTATAAGTTGTTTGCTCAGATACAAGGAATGTGAAATAACGTCAATATGTCCATGTGTCTTTTTCTCACCCTCCTTTCTCCCTCCTCTTGTTTGTTTCCTTCAAGTATTTTTATATATCTGGTGGCCTCTTTTAGTCCACTGTGCTTTATGACTCCGACTCGCTGGCACCGAGTGCCTTTGCCATGAGAACCGTTGGCTCTTTTTGTGTTTGCTGCCTTGTGTAACTACAAGTGCATTCACATGTTTTGGGAATGATCTGGCATTTTTTTTTTTTTTTCTTTCATAACAACTGGACATGAAATAGCCTGGGGAGGAATGCTCAGGGCAAAGCTTGTGGTGCTGGAGACTGAATTCTCATGACTGTATTTAGCTCTGACCAAACCTGAGGTGCATTTATGCTTCATTCTAGCTTCTGCTTAACAGCTGTGCTAATCCCAGGTGCTCTGCTGAGTCTGTGTTGTCCAGTTGGACAGGACTAGCTCTGGTGTCACCGGTTGGAAAAGATTCCAGCACTGCAGTGAGCTATGCATACATCCTAATGTGGCTTTTGTTCTGCAAGCCTGTGGTTCTGGAAGCAGAATCAAAGAGAAACATTAGCTAACTGTTCATAAGCAAAAAGCTTTTCTGATACGCGTGACTCTGAAGCTATCCCTTCCAGAGATGGTGTGGAGCAGCCCAAGTGAGAGGAGGCTGTTGGGAGGTCTGGGTGGCTGCTGGGCTGCTCTTGTCATGGCTTTGGTAAATAGCATGCAACTTCTTTGTGTCAGAAGTAAGTGTAGGTGTGTGCCCAAATCACTGCATAGATTAGATAAATTCACAGTTATATTTGAAGCTAAGACCCTAGCTTGAGTTGGTATTTTAGTGATTTTTCTCTCACTGGGAGAGCAGTAAATAGTCTTAGATGGTAGAGATGGCTCAGGAAATTGAGGTCACAGTATAATATGCAAGACCTTGTTTTGGTTTTTTTTACCTTGTTTACTTTACGACAGGGTAAGTATTTCATAGCAAAAGTAAATTTTTTGCGCAGTTTGTGAAATAAATAATAGAGTTCCTGTTAAAAAATGCATTGACTAGCTTCCTTATTTTAATATTAATAAGGCAGGTCGCTACAATAAAATTAGCTCTGCACGGTGTTTGTCATTTTGCTGCCAAAGCTATTGAGTCTAATGCCATTCCTTCCTGAAATGAATCCCCAGGAGATCAGTGTTTGTGCCATTCTCAAACCTCTAGTTCAGGGGAGCTGGAGTTGAGCTGCAGATAATGGAAAATGAGTGTTTCAGTCTGGGAATCCCAGATATGAGAGTAGGACAGAGGCCTTTGACCTTGTGGCTCTCTGGCTGCTTGTTTGCAGCATTTTAGTGCTGTTTACATCTGTGTTTTCTCTGGTGTGCTACTAACACCCAGCCGCTTGGCTCATGTTTAGGGACAACCTGGTAACCGTATCTATACAGTGTCATAGTTCAGAATCCTTGCCTGATGGTGACAGGGCCACTGAAGCACGTAGGTGCTGTAGCTGGGCCTGCAGTGCCCAAGAGCTCAATGCCTTTTGATTTTGGAGCAAAAAGCTTGTGGCATCTGGGGAAAGAGAATGACATTGCACTTGACACAAAGGGGATAGTCTTTTTCCTTTTCTTTTGTTTTCTCTAAAGACACATCTGTGCCTTTAAAAGGAAAAGCCCTTTATGAACCCTGTGCTGCTGTGATTTATAGCACATATTTATCTGAGCCATGGAACAAAGGGAAAAAAAAAAACATGTAATCTTGATACATTTTGTTGTGTGACCAGACCAGCACTTTTGTGCTTATAAATAATAGGAACACTCATTGTATTAGAGGCACTGTCAACTGAAGCAATAGGTTAAAGCAAGCATTAGGGGGTTGTTTGATCATTGTTACAGATACACATCTGCTGAAATCTGCATTTAAAGCAAGATTAATTAAGCTCTCTTCATTTTGCATTTTTGCAGTTTGCATTTTTAGTTTAGGATCCAAACTGGAATTATATTCAAGCTTTGCCTGCCAACTGAATTTTTAGAAGATTTTATTGAACACTGATGTCTGTGAAGCAGGGGAGCACATATGTTTAAATACCGCTGAGGTCTATGGGTACAAATATCTGCTCAACTGTTTTCTTGAAAACAGTCATGTTTCAAGTAGACTTGAAATTTCTACTTTAAAGAAGAGTCTTGAGAATCCAACAGCTGGGAAGTGCTTCCTTAGCTGGACACTGCCAGTTCTGAAGCCCCAGGCTTTTGCAGGTCTGCTATTTCTACCTCTTACAACATGCTGTAGTCAAAATTTGGATTTATGGATTGTATTCACTGTGTGTACTTTCTGTAGGCTACGTGAAGCTGAGAGCTTTAACCACCCTTTAAGTGGTGTTACTGTCATCAGAGGTAAACCAGCCCATGTCTTCCTCCCATTTGCAGAGTCTTAGCTGAAAGCAGGGAGTCTGTTTGGAAATGGGAAGGATCTTTGTGCAAGAGGCTGGGGAAGGTGAGGTTCCTTCTGTTCTCCTTGGGGAGGTGATACAGCAGAAATGTCTCACTTTTTGTGATTAGCCAAGGCAAAATTGCATCCAGAAGGTGAAGGTATTGTTACTTTTTTTTTGCAATTGCAGAAGGAAAATGGGACAAACTGGACAAGGCACACTCTTATTCTTCCTTCCAAATTACTCTGGAGAAAAGTCAAAACAAGGCTGTGTGTGACAGTTGCCCCTCAGTCTTACTCTCACTATTACAGAGGCTGAAAATGTTCCTGCAGACTCCTGAGCAGTGTTAGCTGCGTGGTTATTTCTTTATCCCCATTCTGCAAGAAGAGAAATGCTAGATGGGTAAAAGAAAATAGCTGGGTAAGCAAAGGCCCGCAGTTTTGTCCCTATATAAGGCATTGGTTTATAAAATTGGGTCACTTAGTACAGCCTGCAGCGCTTTCAGAAAGATACTCGAGGAACTAAATCTGTTTTTTATGTTCTCTGACTTACTAGGACCTAGGCAAAATGTGATTTGTCCATCTGAATAGAGAGTATGCTTAGTGTCTCAGGATCAGTCTGTGTCTTCCTGAGCATGGAAAATGAAAGACAGTCCATTTCATCTTAGCTGTGAACCTGGTATTTATTCCAGAGTGCTGAAGTTTGGGGAAATTTTTAGCTATTTGGCCTGTGTTCACTGCTGAGTGATTTGAAAATGTTGGAGTTATTTAAAATATGTTGGTGTTCTCTTCTGCTTTTAGTGTGAAGAGGATCTGTCTTACAGTGAGAAGGATACAACTGAGATGGCACCTGGGCTGGAGAACAGAGTCGATGTTCGATACCTTCAGTGGTTAAATGGGAAGCTGAGGTTCCAGTGGCGGAGTCTGCATGCTCAGCAGCAAGAGCAGTGCAAGCTTTTACATAAGGTAAATGATTCTTCTAACCCACTGTGGCGTTGTTTATTATTTAAAAGCCTTGTCAGCTAGTGCTAAATGTATAAATTATTCTTGTCTGCTAGTTCGGCATTTTCTCTAGTTAAAAGTGAATTACTCTAAATATAAATACCCCCACCTTTCCCCAGTGAGGCAGAACCATGAGAAAATGAAGTATGCACTGTGTTCATAAGGTTGTAATTGCTGTATGAAAGTCTCCCTCACAGGTTGGCACATTAGTCACTTCCATAACCAGGTGGGCTGTCACCATTTTCCTCAGAAAATGTCTGGTAGAAGCATGACAGAGCGCTTGGCTCCCAAAGACAAGTAGTGACTCAAGTGTTAGTTCATCACAAATGTGCACTCAAAATTCTGAGCGCAGATGTTGAAAGTCGTAGCAGCAAATTAAAATGCAGTTTCCCTTTCTGCAGTACTAGGGAGCATCTGAACAAAACTCCAAAAACAATTTTAAATCAGGAAATGTTCATTCTCTACCTGGCTGAGATTCCAGTTCTATTCCCATTTGTGTATGGTGGTTTTTTTGCCCATCTCAATGCAGATATCTGAGAAGCACTGTGCCTGCTTAGGATAAATGCATCCTGCATTCCCAAATTTGACAGCAGTGATGACTCTGGAGACAAGTTTAAAAAAAAAAAAAAGATAATAAAAAGTTGTAAAAATAGTTCTGAAAGTTATTCAGTAGCATTTTCCCGATCCACTCTTGCCTTCTTCTCCTTCTGTATGGAGCCACTTGCTATTGTGTGTAGAGGCTTGACAAATAATCTTTTCAAGACTCAGAACAGGTTTGAGAAATTTCTCCTCGAAGAAAGTGTATCAGCAAGTCGTCAGAATCAGAACAAGAGGGTTTTGAATGAAGATACCTTCTTTGCTTTAATCCTGTGTGTGACAGAGCAAGGCTGAAAACTATAATGAGGTTACATTTTGTTCTTTACATGAATTGATTGCCGGGGAAGATGTCTGATTGACAGCCCTGGGGAAAGATCAGGTGCTGCGTGTGCAGCATCTAAAATAACCTTTTGCTTCTCATTGCCCACTGTGAATGTGCTTTTCTGAACTGCAAAGGAAGATAGCAATTCACCTTAAGTGCAGGTGCAGTCCTTGGCTTTTGCACGGAGATTACAGACAGCCATGCTATTGGGAGAGGTGACTTAATGATGTAGAACTCCAATGAAGTGTTCTCCCCTTGATAAGCTACCTCTATTTGAGGTATGCTGATTTTTACAGTAGGTAAGGCAAATATTCCATAAGTCATCATCAGTGCTCTGATTTATCTGGTACTTGGCAGGAACAAATCATTAGGCAGTCTCGATACCTCAGCTTGCAGTTAATGAGAGCAAGGAAGAATTAAGAGCAGGTCAGAGCTGGGGCCTTGAGAACAGAGATCCTCTTGCTGTCTGGGATGAGATGAAGCGAGGTGCTGAATGGGCAACGTGCTGAAGTGTTGACAGGGAAGATGATGACCTCCTATGGGGATTGTATTTTGAAATAAACTTGGACTTTTTTTTCCCCTCTGGCTACTGGAGGAAAAATGTTCATTCACATTAAGACTAATGCAGTCAGAAAACAACTTGAGACAGGCTAGTTACTATGCAGTTTCCTGGACTGTGGTTTTCAGAGTCTGCAAGACTAAGCAGGAGAGGGAATGTTTCTCTGTTCAATCCAGTTTCCTCATGTTGCCATTACTGCCTTCTCAGTCATTGCTGGACTAGGTTGAAAGCAGTAAGCTGTGCTGCTGATAATTCTTACGTTCAGACTATGCTCTGTGGTATATGCAGAGGGCTGCCATCAACTGTCATCACAGATGCATACATCTAAGGATTGACTGGGGCCCAGCTCCTCCGTTTGTGATCACACACTGATATTATGTGTGCTCAAATATGTATGTGCGACTGTGGGAGTTCTGTTCAGAGCTATAATAAAGTGCAGTGCTCTGATTTATATTTTAGTTTGAATTAAAAGCAAGAAAATTGAAAGGCAAAAGTGACTGGAAAGGACTTCATTGCAGTGCCACGTTAATGTTAACTTTTATGGCCAGACAAAACACAATGTGTGCAGTTGAACAGCTGCATAAACAACTATTTGTATTTTCTGACTCTTACAGAGAAGTGTTGTCCGTGCTACTGCATTAACTTAGCTTTAAAACTTCTAAACGAATCTGCTTTGTCTTAGAAGACTGAGCTTACCCATATGACCTGTATGTGAGCTGTTGCTTTCCTCATGGAAACAGCAAACACAGTGTGCAGCAGGCTAATGAGTATTATGTTTTTCAGTTATACTGACAGATTTAGAGGACTTTCTCTACAAAATGATAATTATGGTTTCTGCTCACTCTGTTTAATAACTTACCAGGTTATGTATCTCAACTGTGGAACAGCCTTATTTACTCTGATCACGAGCTATAGCTATTGCCAAGTAGTGGTGACTCTTCCACATATTTTGTTCTGTGACTCACATAAGCTCGTAAATACCATATTTTCTATTTGGGACTTTTGAGAAAAATGCATCACACTTGGAAAATATATTCCTACTTAGGAAATGACTGCTTTGCCGTGCTATCTTATAAGCATGGGTATTTCTGCTGGAAACAAGAATCGTACACAGAGGATCCTGCAAGAAGCGACCAAGATGGTGAAGGGCTGGCTAAGATGGGCATGACCACCAAGAAGAGGCTGAGGGAGCTGGACTTGTTTGGTCTGGTGGAGATGAGTTTGAGGGAGGCAGCATCACACTGCTGCTTTGGGCATAACTGTTTGACAGGTGTGAAGAGGAGGGTTATGTGCTCCCAGTAGTACCGAAAGACAAAGGGGGAGAGAGCTTCAGGTTGTAGTTGGGCAGGTTCTGGCAAGTTAGAAAAATCTTCTCTGGGGTGGCAGGCAGCATTGGAGCAGGTCAGCAGAGGGGGTGAATGATGTCCATCCTCAGAGGCTTGCAAAACGCGTACACATGTTGGCAGTAGTCCTTGTTAGAGCAAGGGGCCAGACTGAGGACCTTCAGAGGTCTTTTGTGTTTCTGTGACTTTGTGGAAAAAATAGAATATCGAATTGCTTGGGTGATCAGGGACGTGTACTTTCAGGTTACAAATGATGACTCACGTCGTAATGAAATAGTGCTGTATTGCCTGGAGAAAGTGAAAAGGAGTGGTAGGAGGGAGATGCAAGGTGAAATGGGCAAAAATAAATGACACTTCATTCTCTAAAGTACACAGATGATAGTTGAAATCCTCCTCTGCGTGATTTGGGTTCTGTGGGAGCCCTGTATACTCTGTCTTGTCTGCAGCCACTTAAGGCTGATGGTACAAAGTTCTGCAGTAAGCACTTTCAAGCAGTGGGGAGTGAAGCCTACGTGGAGGTAGAGCCAGTCTTGGTGGGAGCTGCTTGTTAGGTGCTCTGCCTGCTGCTCTGCTTTGCCAGCCCTGCTGCTAGCTAGCTGCTTTTCAGTGCCTCCCTGAGGCACACAAAGCTCCCAGACACCTACGTGCCCCACTGTAGGAAGGAGACTTCCTCAGGGAAATCGTAACCTCTCTGTTGCTGAGGAGTTTTGCAGCCTGAGGCTGTGAGCTGTTGAATAACATTATAATAGCTTTTCAACATGGGCAGGTTTGCCTGCTTTGAAAGTCTAATACAGCAATACTAGCATAATTCCTTCCAAATTCTCAGTGGTACTTATTTACCTGATAGACATTGAAATACATCGAAGCATGAGGGATACATTACCATATTAAGGCACACCTCTTGGTTCCTTCTCTTCTATCCTTCCTCTCAAGTGCCAATGGAATATCTGCCTGCCTGCCTTTTGATCCCTCTTGAATTCATAGGGGAGAGAAGCTGTTTTTTGTTAGGCCTTGAATTGCCACTTGGCCTTAAAAAGAAAAAAAAAAAAAAAAAAAAAGTGAATGAGAAGCCTTGCATCGTTTCAGAAAAACAGTTTAAAATTGGCTTTTTTATTCCTCAGGTCTGTTAAATGCTATTATGCCACAATCAGCATGTAAAAAGAAATAGCAGAGTTTCTGCAAAGCTGATGGATTTCCTGTGGGTATTTTCAGCTGTCTTCTCTCCACTAAAGACTAGGACAGAAATTACAAATGAAATAGGAGAGGGTTAGTCTGAATTCAGAGGTGAATTTTGTTAAGCATCTGACTGTGGACTGTGGGCATATTTTAATAGGAATAAAATGATATTCAATGGAATTACGGACAATAGAAGAAGACTTTAATATAAATGGTATTATCAGATTGTGGCAAAATGGCAATAATGGTTCTAATGTGCTTGGAAAATTGTAAGAGCAGGAGCTGTGAATGCAAAGCAGGACTGAAGTACCTGCTATGAAAGGAGTGGGTTCTTGTGCCACCTTGAAGATCAGTAATATGAAATAGGTTGTGTTACACAGTGGGTTAGATTGGTGGTATCTATGCATCGTGTGATGGGGTGAGGTGATGTGGACAAAGTCTTGATGTTCTGAACAGCAGAGGGCAGAGACTGATGCTGGATGATGACTTCATTATCAGTAATTTATGAGTGAGCTGAACTGTGGTTGTTGGATGTGTCTCTGTCTTGGCATGAGGAATCTGCTGTAAATGACTACATTGGTAGTTTTGAGGTTTTTTTTGTCTTCGAAAAGCTTTGTTTTCCTAATGTGACTCTGCCTTTAGATCCCAACAGATCTCTTGAATGCAAATGCATGTAAGCTGTGATCAAGTCCACTTCTCATCCTCTTTCAGAGGAATTGACCAGCTTATCTTTTTGCAGGTTGGCTGAACTCAAGGGCATTTAGGAGTTGGTCCTGGATGCTTCCCAAGGTGTGAAGGCTGTGCCTGTACTCTCACGCAGAGGAGGCTGTGTAAGGTTCAATCAGACCTGCCTCCTCTTTATCTGTTTGGCTCCATACAGCAACAGCTACACGTGCCCTCTGCCTCTCACCATTCACCTGTAACTTTTGTCTTGGTACTCTTTCTCCCTTTAGCCTTGCTTCATCTTTAGTCAGAACGTGATTTTTCAATAACAGCTTGTAAAAATATACATACTGGATTGTGCCAGCATCCATCTATTCTAGTCTTGGAGGAACACTTTATTCCTCTGTTGCTACAGCTTTGCAGTATTTGTTTTGAGCTTCAGCGGGTAGCGTGGCTGCAGCATACCTTTGAAGAGGGCTTGAAATTCACCCTGGTGCTGTGGCCCAAAGGTTTTGCTGCTGTGGTTACATGGGAAGGCAGCCGGGAGAGCCATGGAGAGCAGAAAGGAAGGACGTTGTGTGGGGAGGTGCTTTTTTATTTTTAAACTTGCATAGCTTTGCACATGTGACAGATGGTTGTCACTGGGAGTGAGTTTGGGGAAAGGAATGCTAAAATATTCCCAAGTTTCAGAGAAGGGTTGATAATTGCCCGGTGCCTGTCAGCTTTAAAACAGTTGTCAAATACCCAAGTGTATGATAAAGTTCATATTAGAATAAAGGAAAAAAAGCAGGAAACATTCTCTGTCTTCTGGCAGAAATATTAATGAAATATGAGCGATTCTCTGACAAATGTGCACTGCTATCTTGTTTGGCAGCTGCAGTTATTACAGTAACAAAGGGATCAGCTCTGAATAGGACGAATTGCTTTTTATTGTTCCCTTGACTAAGTTGGGAAGCTTCTTCATCAAATAATTGATGATACCATCACCAGTGCAGCTGGGACAAGGTCCCAGTAAGAGAAAGCCAAGAATACATAGCAGCAGTACAGAAACTTGCTGTAACTTGGTAGCTTGTTCTGCTTTAAAGGAAGAAATCAGCAGTCATTCTGAGGGCATCCTTTACCTCTGTTAAGACTTGTGCTATCTGTGAAAATGTTTTTTTCTCTCACGTTATGAATACGATTATGTACAGAGTAAAGAAAAAGACTGAGATGTGAAAAGAGAGTAAATTGTTCACTTTTACTGCGGTGGCAGCGGAGGCATGTGCTCATGGTAATGGTACTGGATGGCCCATTTTGTGGGTGTGTGGCCATGGGTTCCTGTAGACTCTTCTACAAAAGTCTGTTGTATTGGTTGTTGTAGTTACTTCTGTACTTGCCATTGGCACTGGGCTTGTAACCACTGGTTCACATCGCTGTTGCATCCATGCAAGCTGTTGGATGGCAGCTAAGGGTGTTGTTAATTATCTGGTCCTTACAATTACAAATGTCTTTTACTTTAATCTATTCCAGATCCATTTGTTCACTAGTGGTTCTCATACAGACCAGACCCTTGGACATTTTTCTGTCACAGAAACAGATCTTGTCAGACATCCGGAGAACTACAACCAGGTAATGATTGTTCTGTAATCCTTAGATGCTCAGGATGCTTTAGACAAACATTGGTCAGCAAAAGCCTGCATTTCTTAAAACGTTTTTAACCATTTCTAGCAGAAATAAAGGCTTGTATTGCAGAACTATCTGTCTGTATCCTCCTTTATAACTTGTACCCACCAAATATTTTTTTCTCATTTGAAAAAGCATAGGAGATGTATTGCTCTGGGTTTTCTAAAAGCTGGTAGACAGGAAGTGGGGAGAGACCTGACCAAAATTACCAGTGAAGAAAAGGCTTGTAGAATAAATCTGATATAGAACAGCAGGCTGACTTCTGCTGCTTGCTGCCAGTAACCATGCTGGGGGGCACCTGGGCAATGTGTCTGTGTCTGACCTTGCATGAACGGGCTGTTGTAATACAAGGAGATCTGATTTCTCTCTCCAGGAGAACCAAAGCAGATCTGATGCTAGGATTCATTTCACTGCCAGAAATTGTCCAAGCAGATTACCTTTTTGGTTGGTAGCGTGGCTTATTGTCTGACCGATTTTAGAATCTATGAGTCAGAAAATGGTTTATGTTGGAAGGGACCTTGAGAGATCACCCAGTGCAACCCCACTGTTTAAGCAGGTTCACCTAGAGCCAGCTGCCCAGCACCACCTCCAGATGACTTTTGAGTACCTCCAGGGTTGGAGATTCCATGACTCTTTGTGACCTGGCCCTGTGCTCACACAGCAAAATAGTTTTTATTTCCGTGTTCAAACAGAACCTCCTGGGGCAGCTTTGTTTTTCCTAGTGTACTGTTTACCTGTAAGTATATTTTTTTGCTGTTCTCAAATATTCCATTACCACAGACATTTCAATTTATTCTTTGAAGTAGTACAATTCACCTGTTTTAATACAATGTAATACGTTTGTTTTACGTATTAGTTGATAGAAGTTCTTCATGTATGTAACTGAAATCAGATTGAAATTTTAAGCTTGACTCTCACGAGATCATTATTTTGCAGCTTTCTGCAGTCTGTTCAGATCTGTTTGCTCAAGGAAGAAATTCTTTCTGCTGCTACTTTTAAGAGTAGAAACGGGCATTGTAAATATTGCACAGAAAGAAGTTCTGGAAAGTAAATCTGAAGGTGGGAGATAGTCTCATGTTCAAACCCACTAAAGTAAATGGCACATTAATCTTTCATTACTGAGAATTCCTTGGATGAACGGTTTGCGTCCAGCCTCCTGATGAGGTTCAGCTGCTTAGAACATTTTCCTGGAAAGCCATTGTGGAGCAGGTGGCTTGAGATTACTTTCTCATTTCTGCTTCATGGTCCCTTTCCTAAGGTTTGTCCAGCAGCTCAGAACAGATAGCAGAGCAGTCCTCTGAAGCCCATACTTTACAGTCTCTTGAGCCTAGCAAAAGTCCAGGAAGGTCTGGTAAGCTGGTATGAGAAGCTTCTACACTGTGTGAAAGGACTTAGCAACTACTTTTTTGCAAAGCCTTATCCTGAAATCGTCACTAATCTCTTAGACTATAGCATAATGACACTGCTATAAAGCCCATTTGGATTTGGCAACACTATTAAATAATCATTCCAGAAATCTTTCTTGCATGCTGTTTGCTTTCCCGGGTCAGAATCATAAATCTGGAAGTGGGAGATGATCCCATTTAAGAGGTTGGTCTCATACCTGGAGTTGCACTCACGATGGCTGCTTCGGGTGCACTATTCAGTGCAGGCTCAGGGTAAAATGGGAAGAATCTGTGTTTGTTTCAAACAGGGTGCTGCAATCAAGAAGCAACAAAGCTACTCTCAAAATGTTAGTTCTAATCTGTTAAGGTTTAATTCTACCCTTCCCAGGTTTAAGCAACAACTAAATAAAGTGGGGTATACTCCTTTTAAACAGATGATCACTAAGGGACAGATGCAGAGTAACAGCAGATGCTTTCTTCAAATCAGTTGTGGATGGCCAGGCTCCGTTTCCAGCTTCTGTTTCTCTAGCAGCTGTAATCCCAAACAGGTTCCAGCTCCAGCGCTGGATTGTTTGAGCTGTCTTCCTGGTTTTTGTCTCTCCTTACCCCTGTTTCCCATAAACAGCTTCCAGAACTCAGATGCTCAGTATATATGATGAGTCCCATATAACAAGGTGGCACGGACTTGAAAAGGCAAGGGTACTGCAAGTGCCAGTGCTCCAGATGGGTATAATACTCAGTATGCAAAGTGATGCTTCTTTGGAAAGCATAGCAAAAAGCCTAATTTTCAGATATATTCGTAAGATTAAGTGAATTATGCATATTTAATAGCTTGGTTTCCAATATTGGTACAGATGGCAGTGCTCTGCCAAATGTTTTTTTTTTTTTTCCAAAAACTGTGAACTATCTTTTTCTCTTTGAGTAATATGACATTTCTGTTAATGTCACCTCAAATAATATCCTGCTGCGTGGATCGATAAAAAGAGCAAGCATGAGAATTTCTTACTGTGATGCACCCATAGTTGGTGGATGGCACTGTAAATTCCTTCTTGTGTTGGGCATCTTTCAAAGGGTAGAAATGTAAAGCGGATCGAAGTGTCGAAATGAGCCATCACAGAAAGGACATCGGGCTGATTTTATTGAAGCCACGAGAACATTTTCATCCATAATCTCTTCAGATAAGTTGCTCTGACCTGCAATAAAACAAGAGATGTTTCTTCTGACAGGGAAAGCGTGCCAGGATACAGAGCTGGGAAGTTAAACTTCAGTTTATGAAATGGAAGAGTTGCACCGCCTCTTTTCTATAGCCGTTGCACATTCACTTGTTTAAGCGTTCTTTCCCTTGGATTTCTGACAATAAAACTCTTTAGTGTGCTTTTTATGTGCAGGGATTTTACTGGACATTATTATTCTTTTATCATCGTAAAAGCTTTTGTCAGATTCATAGAGCTGGACGTGCTCCAAGTGTAATAGTTTTAATTACGTTTTTCCTTAGTGAGGCGTAATGGAAATCCCAACCTCCCTACAGCTCAGCTGGGCCGTGCTGTCTGTGTGTGCTGCCATGGGTCATGCCTTGCTCACTTCCTGCACTGCCAGAGGTGCTGGGGAATGGGAGGTGATGTTATTTCAGCTGGCATTCCATTTCCAGGAGATGTGTGTTTGCACCTGCTGGCTCTTAACCTCCACATGACGTGGGACAGATGGGGGAAATTTTCATACCAGTGAGAATAATGTAATCCCATTCTTGTTTATGAAGGCCATTTACCTTGATTCTGCATTGCAGTGTCACCAGCTCTGATATTTTACCTTGAGCCTGAAAAATGTATGTTGCCCTTCAGAGTCATTAAATTAACTTTCTCATCAAGCTGTGAGCATATATAGAGATCAATGAACTCTGAAACAAAGAAGTCTATTCCATCGGTTCCTTCTTTTATACTCCTTTATGTGTGGAATTCAGCCTTAGTTGTTTTGTGATTAGCAAAGATTAAAAGCTGCAGTCAGGACTCAGGTCCTGGGTACAATGCAGGCTGTGCTGGGGAGGTCATGGAAATACTAATGGGTGAAAAAGGCACCCTTAGATGCCAGTGGATCAATTTACTGTCTGTGACGGCAAGTGAATAACGTGGCTGTCTGCCAAACTGATGTGCAGAGAAAACTGCATAGCTTAGATGTGAATAGCTGATTTGTTACAAAATCTAATGAAAAATATTTATACTTCTTGATCACTGACCTGTTTGAATGGGAGTTTCTTTGGCCTAAGGAACTGGGGTCTCTGGAGGGAAGTAAAAAAAGACCAGCAAACAAATAGTCTGTCTGACTTTGCTTGCATTACAGGTGATCAATTCCACATCCATAAAAAAAAAAAAATCAGGTGAGCTGTAGCTCTCTGAGCAGCAGATTGGGTGGGCTGGGGTAGGATGGTACTGGCACAGCATTAATCAGCTTTCTGGGCTGTCCATGTATCTGGGAAGGAAGCTGACATGCAGTGTGTATGTAGGGTTTCCTGTGGTCAAATGGGACTGCATAATTTCTTACTGGGACATTCAGAAGGAAAATGATCAAGCTGTAAAGTAAGTTGACTGTGGACCCTAAATCTCCAGACAGATTCTATTCAAAACATCTGTCCCAGATGGCTGTTGCATATGGGTGACACAGCAGTTTGTTAAATTCATGCACAGCAATGAAGAGTTTCTGTTGTGTTCAGAACTGGTACTTTTGGGCTGGGAGGATTAAGGCCTGATAGGCATTGATTTTTAAAAAATATTGAATGTGCATTTACAGGTTGCTTTGCACAGTGTCTTCAGTTTGCATTGTGTGTGTGCATATCTGGGACTGTGCACTTCTTTGCATAAAATCTCCCTGGTTTGCTGAAGTATTTTATCTGTGTAGGCGTGCTGGACAGTGTGATTGGCCATGCTTGGGATGCACAAACCCTGTGTGCAAGCTTGTAGCCTGCTTCCATCCGAGTAACAGCACCACCTCCTGGAACATGTGAAAGGGTGAGCAGTGAGAGTTATCTCCTAGGAATACTGGTCACTGAGTAATGGCAGTGCTATGGCTTTATCTCCAGAAATGGGTCCCAAGTTGCTAACTGCCTCAGGTGAAAATGGAATAACTACAGCAAGATAATTCCAGCTCTGTGTGCCAGGCTATATTTGGTGTCCTTGTTCCGCTTGTTTGGGACTCCATGGAATGCTCTGGTGATGACAGATGCTGCAGGCAGGCGCTAGGTGAAAATAAGCAGTTAAAACCCCGCTGTTGAGCTTGACACTGTGTCACATCACTGATTTGACACAGACCTGTGCTAGCATGTAGTGCTTGCTGTAATAGGCCCCGATACGGTCTTGTATGGTGGGCTGATGGATGTATGCCTTGTTTGAATTTCAAAGACCTGCCTTGGGACCATCTGATAGTTTATGATGTCCCTCCATCTGTTGTAAAAGAAGCGGCTGAACCAACTCGTCCTTCTGAAAGAGCAGAGATACCAAAGGAAAAAGCAGGATCTGTACTGTTGTTTGTGGTGCTGCTGGTAGGAAATTAATTCAGGAAATGCAGGCTTGT